ATTAGAGGACTTTTGGGTAGGTGTGCTTTTCTTTTAGGATAGCTCTGAGCTTTTAGTCACCCTTTAGCCTCTACTAAAGCTTTTAGCTTCTTGTCTTATCTCTCCTCCCTCCTCTCTTTCAGAAAGTACTATTAAAATATTATTGTTATTAATAATTATAGAAAGTACAGAAAACAGCAAAGCCTCATTCTCATAAAAACCACCTACCAACCTACCTAAACTTACTACCAAGAAATGCCATCATATATTTATTTACAATTGGGATCACATTCTGCCTGAAACTAAGTTCTGTCTAAATTTCTCAGAACATACATGTATTGAACAATACATGGTTCTTTCTGCTTTTTTTTGTATATCTCATGTGTATTATGGATTCTTTAATTTACATTTCCAAATCTAAAGTGTGCAACTAAATGAGCATGGGATTCTAAGACCACATACCCAAAACACAATACACCCCTCCCCCCATACCTTGGTCAGGCTATACAAAAGGAAAAAGCCTTCTTACCCGCAAATAGAGGCTGTTCCTTATAATTAGAGACGCCAGACACTGAATTAACAAGCTTTCTGGCCTTCAAATGAAGGACATCTTTTCTAATAATGGAAACCTGGCAAGCCTAATTACAACTAAGGTCTGTAATCCTCTGAATAATTTTCTTGAATATATAGATGATCGTTAATGTACACAAGAAGGATGCTGTCAGCCTGTTCAGACTGATTGTGTCTGATGTTCATGATGAGGATGGGGATGATGTTCCTGATAGTGGGCCTGAGTCTGATGCAGTGGAGATGATGCGCCTGAGTAAGGCTCAGACGAGAGGCCCGAGCTCTTTCAGGAAGATTCAAAAGGTCACATTCTTGGAAGAGGCCTTTCATAGTCTTTCTCAGAGCAACTGTCTGAAGATGATTTGTCAGGTGCAGAAGTTAATGAGAGTCAAGTTAATGAGAGTGTAGGTAGAAGGCAAGGCTTTTGTAAACAGAGACAGAGTGCTCAAGCGTAAAGAACTCATGTATAGGAAAAGAGAAAGAAGAAACCTTTATCTGGTGGTAGGATCAAGAGAAATGCTTTCCTTTTGGGTTTGGGATCTGGAAAAGTCTTATATTGATTCACGGGAAAGACTTGCCTCAGTTGAGTCAACGATGGAATTTCATAACAGTTTTGCTTTCAAATATTCTTAGTTTCATGTGCCAAGTTTTTGCCAAGCTCCTGATTTGTCTATTGGATTTTTCGTGCTGCCCTGTTTCATGGATTTCTGTGCCTGTTTCATGGATCTTTATACCTATGGATTTTGATCTGCCTTGAAACTCATGGACTAACCTTTATATTGGAACTTTAGTGTTTTTGCTAATTTTACTGCTTTGCCTACTTCAATAAAATGTTTGTTGATTTTACCAAGCTGGTGTGATGTTTAAGGTCAGAAATGTTCTTGCTCTGGTGTACAACAAAGGATAGTACAGTCAATATTCCTGGAAATTCCCTAGTTTAGCAAAGGCATTTTTAAAGGCAACTTTACAAAACATTAGTTGCCATTAAAGCTTTCTCGTTGCTGATTAGATTTGAACACCTTACATTCTTGAAGATAAAACACTCTTGTTTGGGAGGTGGGGCTCAATAAAATTCCCAGGGTTTTGCTGCCTACCTGGAGCAGCAGAAAAAGAAGGAGTGGGTGAGTGAACAAGCAACTGCTGGAACATAATATATGTTCTGGTGGGTTATGGCAAATCACAGAGTATGCTTCCCTGCCATAGACATTATTACCATTCTGGTATAGCTCTTTCATTCACTTTACAACCCCTATATCAGATTCAAAGTTGGCAGAAGCAATTTAAGATGAAAAAAGTTGAAGGATGCAAAGATTAAGAAGATAATTAAGGAAAATTGTGGGCATTCAAAAGGGCTTGCGGGAATTACCTATTACTTGGAAACCATGGGCTCTTTCTGAAAGTCTGAAAATTGCAGCTTTCATTTTAAAAAAGTAAGAAATGCCATTTGTCCTTACATTCTCAGCCCCTGTGATTTCTTGCTGTGTAGATACCCCATGTTCAAAAATAGAATGTAATTGATTCATTTCCGAATACAACACATTCCTTTTTCAAAAGTCAAAGACTGGCAGAGAGTTGAGGCGGAGCATTTCAATTTGTAGCTCATATACAGATGCACTCACCGAGAAAGGAGCGAACACAAAAGACTGGTATTCAACAAAGGTATTAACAGAACAGAAATACAATAAGTGCATTGAATCTCCGTGACAATTGAATCAATGCAAAATATGTACCATTTGGTTTAATTATTTTTATGAATACTCTCAAGCATTAATCACACTCAAAGATTGTAAAGTGTCGAGTCTAAAGCAAGCAAAGACTCGACACTTTACAATGCAAGTTCCTTGCATTTTTCAACATTTTGCCAAGATTTTGGATTCAAGAATATTTACTATTCACATTAGAGGGCAGGAGCCCCCAGTAATGCAGTGGGTTAACCTGCTGAGCTGCTGAACTTGCTGATCGAAAGGTCACAGGTTCGAATCCGGGAAGCGACGCGAGCTCCCGCTATTAGCCCCAGCTTCTGCCAACCTAGCAGTTCAAAAACATGCAAATGTGAGTAGCTCAATAGGTACCACTCTGGCAGGAAGGTAACGCTGCTCCATGCAATAATGCTGGCCACATGACCTTAGAGGTGTCTACGGACAATGCCGGCTCTTTGGCTTAGAAATGGAGATGAGCACCAACCCCCAATTGGACACGGCTGGACTTAATGTCAGGAGAAAACATTTACCTTTAACTTTATTAGAGGGCATTCAGATGCTAAACATTTTTCATAATTTTAAAATATCCAGACATTGTTCAGAGTACAGAAGAGTAAAGTTTTTGATGGTGATAATAATAATAATAGTAGTAGTAGTAGTAGTAGTAGTAGTAGTAGTAATTGTGCGGTTTTTTGGCATTGTATATTTCTGCCGCTTCTGTGACTGTTCATTTGTATTTTGATTCTGTAACCCACTTCTCAATGGATGTCCAGAATCAACAGCACCTCCCATGGTCCTTTTTATCCTGGGTGACAACCAAGCCAGTATAGACTTGGTTTTCGTTCGTTTCTCCTTAGTACTAATGGGTTAGGTGCCCTTAGTTCCACTCTTCAGCTGAGACCTTTCTGACTTGGTTGGACCTGCTGGTAGTTACACTACCACCAGCACAGCTCTCAGCATCCTTGGAGCAGTTAAGCCCCCCACCATGACAAGGTGGTAGCCATCAGGCGATTATTATTATTAAAGTTTGATTATTGATGTTGCCATACCAAGTGACAGTCGAATTGACAAAAAAACAACAGGAAAGACTCATCCATTATCAGGACCTCAAAACTGAACTGCCAAGGCTCTGGCATAAATCAGTAGAGGTTGTCCCAGTGGTAATCGGCACACTGGGTGCCATGCCAAAAGATCTCAGCCAGCATTTGAAAACAATAAAGATGGACAAAATCATGATCTGTCAACTGCAAAAGGCCACCTTACTTGGATCTGCGCACATCATTCAAAAATACATCACACAGCCCTAAACACTTGGGAAGTGATCGATTTGTGATTTTGTGATATGAAATCCAGCATATATATCTCGTTTGCTGTGCTTTTGTGTCATAATAATAATGATAACATTATAATAATAATAATTTTGTTTCTTATCCGCCTCTCCCCACTGCTCGAGGCGGGTCTCAGCACAGTTAAAAAGACACAAATACTATAAAAATTCTACAAATACACATTAAACTGAGAAGGGCAGTGATAGGAATAAATTCTAACAAATCTCAGAGGATATTACTGGCTGCTTTGTTCCACTAAACATCTCTCTTTTTCAATATTATTCTGTCATGGTGCAGCATCATTTGGCACACTGGGGACAGGATGGGTGGAGAGGAAAATAACGTCATTCAAAATAAGCAATGTAGAAGAGACATCATTTGTAACGGTAGAACTATGGCCATTGAAAATGTAAGGAAAAGGCCGTTAAAATCTATCCCTTGCTGAGCCTCTCATCTGTTCCCTCTCATTCTACAGGTTCCTCTCTCCTTCCTCCACTCTTATTGGGTAGAAGGAGGAAGTCATAGTAACATGAATGATAAATTCAATTCAAAACTGGTCAAACTGATCTATGCTTTCAATGTACTGTATATTTATTATTTATTTATTTACCACATTTACATCCCACCCTTCTCACACAGAAGGGGACTCAGGGTGGCTCACAACAAAGTCGCAATTCAATGCCTTGAATACATATAAAAATAAAACAATATATACTTTAAAATCACATAAATAAAACATATCACCTAAAACAATTACTTAAAATCACAGAGTCCAAAAGCATATTCTGGGAGCTATTCCAATTGTCATTTGCATTGTTCATAATTGCACTGAGAGGTTATTGTTGCACTGGGAATCATTGCGCAAATGCTTGTTCCACAATCATGTATTCACTTTCTTCCTGAAGGTCAGGAAGGAGGGAGCTGATCTAATTTCCCCAGGGAAGGAGTTCCATGGCCAAGGGGCCACTGCTGAGAAAGCCCTGTCTCTCGTGCCCACCAGTCGCGCCTGAGAGAGGGGTGGGATTGAGAAGAGGGCCTCCCCAGACAATTTTAAACCTCCGAGATGGTTCATAGGGGGAGATATATTTGGATAGGTTAAAGCCCACATTTTGAATTGTGCTCGGTAGCAGATATCAACCTTCCCATTTCAATCCAAAAGCCCACCAATGGTAACAAACTCATTCTATATCATGATGCATTCATTTTTAAAAGTATAGGCACATATTCCACTGTGAAACTATTTCAGATACATTAATTGCTCCTTACTACACTTCCTGTTCCTCCTTTTCAAAAGCTGAGGGTTATTTATATGGAACTTGCAAAGTTACCCATTCAGCTAATGAACAGAAACAGAGATGCAGATGAAGGAAATATATCTTTAAAACATGTATTTATGAAATTATGCTGTAAAATCCATCCGTCTTACCTTCACCTGATGAGCCCGAAAGGTCTATGATGACATATACTCTTCCTTCTGGCTCCAGATCAATCTGTAGTTGAAGGAAGCAAATATTTATTATTAGAATTCTATTGTGTTCCTTTCATAGAATATGTTTATTTTTTCATTCAATGTCATCCTGTGATTCCCTACCCAAAGCTCAATGTAATGATGGCAGTCAATAGCCTTAAAGACTTGAAAAAGTTGGCAGATTTAGATGCTCCACCTTAACTCAACATCAAGAAGGAAGGATTTTTGTAAATATTTGGTTATACACTTCTAGCTATGGAGCTCATAGGACCTCTTAAAAGAAAACAAGTAGGGAGAACACATTATCTATCTGAAGATGAAGTACATAAATAAGAGGTTAAATGTCAATACAACATATTCAGCTAACAATATATTAAAACTACAAAAACATTAAAGATATTAGAAACTTTAAGAGCCTGTCAGCCTCATTGGTTGTCAATTCTACTCAAACATGATAGTACATTAGATGTGGCCGAAAATGGATATGCATGTGATTTGTGTACCCTCTGGCATAACAACACGGAGTGGGAACTTTCAGACACATCTAATGGCCTCATCATATGGGGCTAGATTTGGTGTCAAACATGGATCTAGCCCTGGTCTTCTCCTTCACTCTTCTCCTCCTCCATTTCTTCCTCCTCTTCCCCAGAGGCCCCTTGGGAAGCCCAGGCTGGATGAGAAGAAGAGCAAAGGAGAAGGAGAAGAAGAGCGCCCCAGAGCACTTGCGGCAGGCAGTAACAGCGCAGCAGCAGTAACCCTCCTCCTCTGTCTCTTCCTCCTCCTCTTCCTCAGAAGCCCCTTGGCAGTGGGGTCAACGCTGCCCAAGGAGCCTCCAAGGAAGAGGAGGAGGAAGAGGCGGAGGAGGAGGGAGTTGCTGCTGCTGCGCTGTTGCCGCCTGCTGCAAATGCTCGGGGGCGCTCTTCTTTTCCTTCTCCTTCACTCGTCTTCTAATCTGGCCTAGGCTCACCCTCTTCCTTTGTATCCTCCTCCTCCTAGCCCAAAGGAAGCAAGGCCCCACTGCCTCCTCGGGCTCCGGCATCCTCTGGCCCCACCATTTGCCTGCACTTGGACCCCCCTCCCCTCCTCCTCCTCCTCTTCCTCTTCCTTATATAAATAAGTCAAAGTTGGAGATTTCATTTCAATCAGAAGAGACATCCTAACATAATAGAGAAAAACCCGCAAAACAGCGAGTCCGCAATAGGCGAACCGTGAACTAATAGGGAACACTGTATGCTGACTTCTCTCAAGTTCCACAGCTGTATTAAAAGGAAAGCTATTCCACCAGAATGGAATCCCATTGTGGCTTCTGTGATTTCCTGTACTAGGAGACAAAATAACTTAACCTGCTTTGGGGTCCTATGTACTTGAGTTGGTGCCTAACTGAATGGCAAGTGATACCTTGGTGGAACTGGGAAGCATTTGCTGCTCTTATTCAAACAAACTCTGATTTTGTACTCTGTGAATATAACATTTAAACTTCAGCTCATGTGAAACGTCTCATGTATGAACGTCTGGAGCAGGAATCAAAAGAGGGGCAAAATTTAAAAATTAAGCTGTGCACTGATCCAGTATGCATTCGTTTAGAGTACAAGAGCTTTTAACAGAAGTAACTAACACTTTAGGGTGAACCCAAGGGAGTAGATTGTACGCTGTAAATGCTCATGTTAAAATAAAGCTGTTAGTCTTAATGGTACTGAGATTCCTTTCTCCACTTCTCCTCCTCCCTTTTATACATTACTGTATGACTCCCATACTCAAGGGAGTCCTGCAGTTTTATCAGGCAAAATGTGCCCTCTTTAGAAATGTTCTAGGTCCTCCAGGCAATTCTATTGTATGCCTCTGCCAGAAGTTGCCATAGAGTTTCTCATGGATGGCCTAACACAATCCTGGGGATGTCCTCCAGGGTAATTCTATGGTAATTTCTGGCCAAACCCATTCATTTCAATAGGATTTAATATTATCCATGGTTTACTGTTTCCACAGGATCCCTGCATATATATGAGTATCATACTGTGCCTGCACTTACAACATCTGTAACACCTTAGTTTTGATCATAATAAGGAGGTAAACAACTTTTGAAAGTAATACAACAACTGGTAATATTGTTACTTTTTAACATATCAAGTAACATTTAATCTGCATCCTTTATACTTCTGTATAGGTCTAGAAATGTCAGTTAAAAAGTACCTTAAAAAAATCAGGGTAGACTTATTCCCAGATCAGTTTAATTCTTATAAAATAAAAGGGACAATCCCATTCTTTGATTAGTTGTGATTAGCTTAGTCCATGCTGGAAGAGCCTTTAGGTAATATCCAACCCCCTCTATTTATTATTTATTTATGTATTTGAAGCATTTATATTCCTCCCTTCTCACCTCGAAGGGGACTCAAGGCGGAGCACAACATATATACAGCAAACATTCAATGTCGGATCATAAAATAAACTATAAATGTACATAAACACTAAAATCAGTTATCTCCACTTTAAAGTCAAAACCATTTCAGGTCAGCCATACCAAATACGGTCAGAAGGGTAAAGTTTCCTATAGTTGCGTTATTGCACTGTCCCAAAGGCTTGGCCCTACAGCCAAGTTTCTACCATTTTTCGGAAAGACAGGAGGGCGGGGGCTGATCTAATCTCGCAAGGGAGGTAGCACCTGTGGTGGTAGTAGGACCAAGAGCAGGAAAATCTTAATCTCCATGGTGGTTCATAGAGGGAAATGCATTCAGGCAGGTAAATTGGGCAGGGGCTATTTAGGGCTTTATAGGCTAAAACCAGCACTTTGAATTGTGCTTGGTAGCAAACTGGCAACCAGTGAAGGTGATGCAACATGGGATTTGTGTACTCCCTGTTTGCCACCCCAGTTATTAACCTGGCTGTTTCCCGCTGGACTATTTGAAGCTTCCAAACACTCTTAAAAGGCAACCTCTCATAGAGTGCATTGCAATAGTCTATCTTAGATGTAATGAAAGTGTGGACCACCGTAGCCAGGTCTGACTTCCCAAGGTATGGGTGCAACTGGCACACGTTTTAATTGTGCAAAAGCTCCCCAGCCACTACCAAAACCTGAGTTTCCAGGCTCGGCGATGAGTCCAGGAGGACTCCCAAGCTGCAAACCTGCGCCTCCAAGGGGAGTGTAAGACCATCTGGCACAAGCTGTAACCCTATACCCTGTTCAGCCTGGCGACTGGCCAGAAGTGCCTCTGTCTTGTCTGGATTCAACTTCAATTTATTTGCCCTCATCCAGACCATCATTGTGGCCAGGCACTGGTTCAAGGCCTTCTGGATGCCTGGATGGAGAAATGGCAGTGGTGTTTCCCTCCTGTGGACTCATCTATGGGTCACATCAACATCTATAATTTTGGTCCCAAAACGTGCCCTCAATCTATACATGAGAGCAACTTAGACATATATATGGTATTTTTACTATTTGGAGAAAGCAAAAATGCTTTAAGGGGCCATTTTCTTGTTACTCTCTGAACAGTAAGCACTAATAGTAACACTTCCTTTGAAGAAGAAGAAAAAACTTTCCAAGCTCTGGCAGATAATTCCTATTAGATGTGCCCCCCCCCCCCAAAGATAGATGTATAGCAGTGAAGAAAGCATCCAGCCTTTGGAAAATCATTAGTTCTTAAAACGTGGAGGAGGATCTGATATGTAAGAAATTGTCTGAAAGTAGCTTTCAAATCATATCCCTTAAAATTCACATCATGCTTGCTAGAACACAAAATAGTTTCCAACATCACTAAAAATGAATTATTGTAAGCATCTTATTAATTTACAGTGAAGCTGAGAAGCCCATGCTAATGATCAAAGGAAATGGAGTACACATACATACTAACAACTGAGCAGAAATGTCTTGGAAATTGCACTTTGGTCATTAGTTTTGACAAGCAGAGTTTACTTTTTAATTATGTATGATAATGTCTGAGTAATGTGAGAACTTATCAGGTTGCACCACGATGACATCATTGCTGGGAAGAACGATCCTTATAGGGCATTGGCTAGTATAATACTGCTCTTGATTTTGTTAGACACAAGAACTGTTTAGAGGAACCTTAAGCCTGCCAGATGTTCATGGGTTTACTACTTCCTGACAACTGACCAGATTGGTTGGGATGATGAGAAAAGGAATATGACAGCATCTGCAGAGCTACAGGTCCCCCGACCAGCTTTAGATTCAAGCAATTTAGAGATCACTCCTAAACATTAGGAAGAACTTCTTTATTTTAACAGCTAATCAGCAATAGCATAGACTGCTTCAAAGGATGGTGGTCTCTTCTTCTTTGATTATCTTGAAACAGAGGACTCCTCTGAACAAATCTTACCACCAAAACCTTGTGATAGGTTCACCTTAGGTAACCCTTGACATTAAGTCTTACTCTGGGGGTTGGTGCTCATCTCTATTTCTAAGCCAAAAAGCCAGCGTTGGCTATAGATGTCTCTAAATCATGCAGACGGAATTACTACATGGAGTGCCATTACCTTTCTGCTGAAGTGGTACCTATTGATTTACTCACATTTGTATGTTTTTTAATTGCTAGGTTGGCAGAAGCTGGGCCTAACAGCGGGAGCTCAGCCCACTCCCTGGATTCACCTTAGGGTCACCATAAGTTGGGAAGAACTTGAAGGCACAGAACATGGGGTGGAGGACAAGGGGTCTATAAACACCATTTTTAAAAAATTGCTAGAAGTTGTATTGGTGAATTCCTACCATTAAAACTCAACAAAATATTGGCACTTTGTACCAAATAAAAACAGACATGGATAATGTTGAAAGGAGCAATCATACTCTTTTGTAAACTTTTAAACATTTAAAATATTTTGAAATCAGAATTGATACATATCTTTGAGCTAGATGTATAATAGTCTGCGAATGACCCCCTACAAGGAAAAGCAACAGTGCTCCTAACTACCAACTTAATCTGTGCATACAAAGAGTTTACACTTAAGTATCATACAATGCAAGATCTTTTCAATACAGTGAACCTACAAATTACATTGTGGCCACATGAAACCACA